CATGATATGTTCAAGTTCTTGCAAGCACCAAGAAGAATGGGCATAGTTTTCAGAGAATACAACGACAGCAATCTGTGAGTCTTCAATAGCCTTCAAAAGCGATGCACGGATGGTTTCGCCCCGAGGAAGTTCTTCGTCATCCTTGAAAGTGCCGATTCCRTTATCTACAAGAGTTGTGTAAAGATGGTCCACAAAGGTGTAGCGCGTGTCTGTACCTCTAAAACTAAGAAAAACGTCATATTTCCAAGAGATGGGAAGAGTGGAGTGAAAAGACGACGATAAAGATGCCATCGAATGGTTAGTTTGTTTACTACGGAAAGGTTGAAGAAGAGAGGTGGATGTGGTTTGAGGAGATGAATGAATTGTAGTAAATATTGATGATAAGATGGGAGACGATGTGTTTGCTGCAGCACCACCACATTTTAGAGGAAATTTAAAGATCAACTATGAGATTTKAGTGGTCGACAAAGGAGGCATGGCATACAAACTATGGTCGAGTTTATTTTGGATCTTGGGTTAAATTTCTACTCATAATTAAAACTCAAATAAATTAAATTTATATTTTAAATCTAAATTATAATAAAATTTTAAATTACAACACAAATAAATTAAATTTATATTTTCAAATCTAAATTATAATAAAATTTTAAATTTAAATTAGAAAATAAAAAAATTATAATTTTTATTTTAAAATTCATATTGATTTATATATATGAGATAAAGTATGTATTACTTAAAATTAAATATTACAAGTTAATTATGCATGAATAACACTTGTTAAAACTTCATATTTAAAACCTTAAAATAAAATTGAGAAAGATAAATAGTAAAACAAAATGTGAATCATGATTGAGGGTTCATGTTCTAAATTTCAAAATTCCGCTGCATTGCCGACTACACTTCTAGTAATAAAATAAACTATAAATAAAAAGGATTTAACATAATACTAATTGCATTTCAATAATAATAATAATAATAATAATAAATGCTTGATTAAATGAAATAAAAGTAATATTAATAAAAAATAATTTAAAATACAAATAAAATTTAGATGGTGATGTAATTATTGAGTTATGATGAATAATATCCCCACCCAGTRTAAATATATTCCCGATAAACAATTACTCGATTAAATGGTCCCCAAAGTTGATAAATTGTCATATATATTTCCCAAAACCTGGCTTTATCTTGCCTTTAGCAATTTAAGGATTTTATAGCAAACACTCACGCTTTTTATTTATTTATTCATTTTACGTATATATACATATGTTTGAGTATAGATATATATATATATATA